CTGATGTGGGAACCCCACTCTGGTTGTCCTAATGGACTTGATATCCTGACACATGAGTATTTATTATAGGGATAATTACATGCCACCCAGAATTGTCTAATATTAATCAACCAGCAATTACTAGTTTCAGCTATTTTGGAGGTGGATAAATGAGGTGAATCCGGAATATGAAGTAACTGAAGACCTGAGCTGCCAGATGTCTCCAGCGCAATTCCAAGGTATCGAAGAAAATAAGAATGTTGGAAAAATGGATGAAGCTGGCCTCGAGGCGAAAAACAGCATATTTCCAATTTGCAGAAGTCCACATTCTGATTTATTTTCAACAAAAAATGTCAAGCCAAGCCCCTGGCAGTATTTGAATAATTTAGGACACCGTCCCACCTTCATCAAAACGAGGTAATTTTTATACTTGCATAGAAAAGTCGTTCAGTTCTAGGCTTGTAAATGTGATATTAGTTTTCGCATAAGTTTGGCATTTGAACACGTCTAATTTTCAATTCAAAAAATCATTCGCATATCCGGTTACCGGATCTAGTGAACTATATTCGCTCCAAAAAATTTGCTGTTTTGAGGCCTCAAAAACATTGAAGTCCGTATATTCTGCGAAATTTCACTTAGATAGCTTTTCTGTTTGCACAGAACGAAGGCTTGACTCAGCAAAGTGAACTTCTTCAGCCTAGTTGTTCTTGCATTTATTAAGGTACCACGCACGAGGATTTGCGGTGAAAAGCCATCATGTATTTGAAAAAAGTGCATTACTTATGGGAACTATGGAGTATATAGGCGAATAGCATACATACAGATTATAGTTATTTCAGTAACTGTGAATTATGTCCTAGTTGCAAGAAAAAGTTCGGCTTGAGAAGTGGAATTTTGCCTTAAAGACTTAACCAGTGGCCAGCATTTCATCAGACTAATAGAGACATTTTTCAGTGACACTGCTCAGACTGCAAGCTCAAACTATCCCGCATATTGTGCTGCTTTGCCACCGTATTCGCAGCCGCAGCGACTTCAGAATGCTTGGATGATGCAAGCGAGCATGCACACATCGCGCGCTGAAGCTAACCCATCAAACCTGTTTTTCGAGGGAAATCAGCGCAGTCAGCTAGAGCAAGGAGCATACGCAGCGCTTATGTCATCCAGAAAACGGCTTTCGAATTTGTTGCATCGTACACGTCAGAAAGCAATGTTTCCTTTGATGTGCAATATCTGTGGACAGTCCTTTGCGCGCGATGATGAGCTGCTGCAGCATCATAAGCGGTCCCATATCTCTAAACTCAAGTTCACGTGCCTGCTGTGCAAACGTTCCTTCAAAAGCTACAATGTTCTACGACGACACAAAAAGAAGGTGCACGGAACTGAAACCTCAAACCAGACAGAAGGGCCAATAAGCACTGATTTGGGTGAACCACTGTTTAAGTGCTCCTTGTGCGACAACTACTACACGCTGAAAGGGAACTGTGCGCGGCATGAATGGATTAAGCATGGACTGCTGCGAAACAGACACGGTGTCAATTACCCAAGTAATTCATCTAGAATTCAGTGATTTTTTGCAATTATTCTGAATGGAACAGATGTGAAAGGCAAGGAGAGAGGCGAGGAAAAGAGATGAAATTGGAAGACTTTGAAAGGGCATAGCAATCGTAACATTTTGCCTTGTTTTAGAAAAAACCGGATAAGAGAAGAAGAAAGTTGTTTTCTTTTTATTGTGGCTCACAGACAGCACAAAAGTCTTTGCATGACTAAAAAGCAGTCTAGGATTTGGATTCAGTACTTTCTTGATTTGCATAACTTTTTACCAACATCTTATGGAAAAAAAAATTCATTTCCGGCGCTCAAAAATTTTGAAATTCCAGAGCGAGTTCTTTTAAAATTTTCATCTAAAGCAAACAACTGCAGGATGCTTTTTTTGTTAAGCCATCGTTATTCAAAAAAAAAAAAAAAATTGAAATAAATACGAAGTTACAAAAATAGACAGGACAATATTCCATGTTAGTGATGTTGCTGGAGTGCTCCTACAAGCCCGACTAGCTGTGCCAAGGCTTTAATCATAGCTGTAACTTCTCAGTTTAATAGATATGAATTACTGCACTTTTAAGTTGTTGCAAAAAAAGCGAATTAATTTATCTTTTTTGTCTTTTTTTTCTTTTTTTGATAACAGATTTATTTTTTTTTCTTTTTTGATAACAGAGCAAAACCAACTTATCACTGTTCCTCCTTGCCCATCACTACGCCCTCTCTCATGTTCCAATTCTGAGACGCTACTATTTATTTTTGACTTACGCGTCAAAAATATCGCTTTCTTTTGAATCTTCGACATAGCTTTTGCATTCTCTGAATTAGTTCCAGTGTGTTTTTGTACAATTTATGCAAGAAGCGTCTTATGGTAAAATGATCACGCTCAAAATGTTCTGACGGTTCAGCTCAAGAATTACATGAGCCAGAAAAAAAAAACTCCGCCCCTGTAGTCGTCGGCCAAGCTTAGGCCGAAAAACCTAAAACTAGTTCTTCAAATCGTTCTAGCCCGTCCAG